AAATCCCCTATTTATTATTTTGTCCTAAAACCTTTATTTGATTCTGCTGTATTACTATTGAAGAACACTTTCAATATTCTTTTCAGCTACAAAAAATGCAAAAATAAAACACGTTCTTAGATCACAGGCATATAAAACAGGTTATAGGCTGGATTTGACCAATGGCTCATAGTTGGTTGATTCCTGGGGTATATCATATTGCCATCCAAGTAATCTCACCGGCGTATAGGGCAGAGTTAAGAGTGTTTCTGCAACCATTTGATTGTTGAAGACATCCCTGTTAGCCTCTTACTCCTCTTGAAGTTACTCTCTATGCCCACATTGGCAGAAACCTTCAGCCTGAACCTGGAGGTTGACATGGTGGTGGTAGTGGAGGGACCTTGTCATCTACCTGAAATCACAGGAGCATGTCCTGCGAAATACTGGACCTTATCTATTGCCTCAAATTCCATTGACAACAAAATCTCTATTATGTCGTAGTCCATAATTTTGATGTCTTTATGAAAAAAGTATTCTTTAGGGCTAGCATTGCCTTATTAATTTTACTATCATATACATTTTATTTCAAATGCAAACATGAAAAAGCTAGATGGGAGGATCAAATATTTAATGACTTCTCTCTTCTTCCCTTTAAGGATTACACTACGTGACTGACCACAGTCAGGAACTCACACCTGTCATTTAGCACCAGCTGAACTTGGTCATGGGAGAATCATTCTGGACCATGTTCAAGATCAGCCCCAGGCAGAGGCAGGTGAGGCAGCTGCCTGGAGGAAAATCGGCACTGACTTGAACAGGTGCCTGCAAATCTGAATATTTCAAATACTTAAGGCAGGAATCCTGTCCCAAAGTAAGTTTAAACATACTTATGTATCCTTTGGTTTCACTTCAAGTCCATCTTATAAAAGAATTTGAGTTTTCTTCTGTAGTTTCACTGTTCATTTTAGGAAAGTTTCCTGTAATTTTATTTGTCAAATGATGATTTCATATATTGTGACACACTCAGTGTAGTAATCTATTTTGTCTGTCTAGCTCGTTTGGGTATGAATGTCTAAAAATACAAGTCTCTGAAGGAAGGTGGGTAATCACAGCCTGTTGCTTATAAGAAATCTTAGCATTAAAAGAGGAAGATTGAACTGTAATTGAGTTCTGAGTTCAAGTTGTAGAAAGAGAAGTAATAGGTTAGAATCAAGAAGGAGACTGGTTTCCAGACACCACCATATGGAAGCCATTTTTGAGATTTTGTAGGAAGTGACTCTACCAGGCAATCTTTTCTTTATCTCCTGAATGCAATTTGGGAGATGTGAGTTTAAGATGCTTGGAAATCACATATGGTGACTTATTCACCTTCATTTCCCTGGAGTGAGGTCAACTTCTTCTTAGCTGTCTGATACTAACAATGCTGTTGGCAGAATGTCATATGATCATATAAATTTTTGATTGTTGTTGCTATTTTTGGCTTACTTTTGTTTTATGAATTATTGCTTCTGATTTTAACCATGAGTTTAGTCTACACTGTGTAACTTATACTTTTATCTTAAAGGAAAAGAGACACCAGTTTGACAAGTCAGTTAAGAATTTGATTACATACCCCCACCATACACTTATGGAGTCTAGCCTGTACCACTTCCTGGCTTGAGAATTCAGTCTTCTGCCTAGTCTCTGTGTGGATCAGTTTCTTTATCAATAAAATGAATATATGAAGGGTACCCTTCTTTAAAGTTAATAAAACAATAGGTCAGTTCACATTAGCCATAAGGCTAGAACTGTGTCTTGCATACATAGCATCCTATAAGTAATTGCTGGGTAAAACAAAATTTAAAATATGACTATCATGTCTGTCTGACTATAGAACCAGCTGTCTTTATACTGTCTATGCTGACTTGTGGGATTCAGCTACACATACTACATCTATCCTCCTTTCTTTCTATTTCTAGCAGCTATAGATCTTTGATGCAAAAAAAGGAGAGTCAGAGGGTAGAAGTCATGAAGTGTGAATTTTCTATTCTGTCATGGTCACCACATTCATTTTTCTCAAATACAGTTAAAGTTTATTTTCAAGGCAAATTACATAATCACCCCAGGATCTTAATGGAAAGGAAACAAGACAAAACAAACACCCAAGTAAGCAAACAATAAGAAATACCCTCTTTTCTGGTTTACTGATGTCCTACATTCCATTTAATGGGGATTATCTCTTTTATTATCCAGTTTAAGTTGTTTTAAAAAATATTTATTTATTTACTGAAAAGGTAGAGTGACAGAGAGAAAGAGAAAGGGGGGGGGGTCTTTCATCTGATGAGTCATTACCCAGAACTCCATCTTTATGTCCCACGTAGGTGGCAGAGACTCAAGTACTTGGATCATATCTGCTGGCTTCCCAGGCACATTATCAGAAAATTGGATCAGAAACAGTGACTACTGGGCAAAAAATGTTCTACATGAAGGATCTCTGTGAGTGAGACCCCAGCAGAAAGAAGTGGCCATCAAAGAAGGATGTACTTTTCTCTGAAGGGAGGAGAGAACTTCTACTTTGCTTATAGCCTTGTCTAAATGCTAACAGTTTGTGAATTCAAAAAGCTTCCATAGCCTAGGCAGCTCATGTCAAGAGCCTCAAATGGTCATTGACATCATACATAACAGTGTTAACTATTAAATTAGTAACAGGAGTGACTGCACACTAACTTCTCATGCAAGACTTTTGTCCTCAATGAGTTGTATTATGAGACTTAACTGTAAAACTTGTTCTCAAACAGCTGTGTGTGTGTGTGTGTGTGTGTGTACAAATTGTTGAAATATTTACTCAGTATAGAGTTGGTGTTCTGTATATAAAGTTACTTGAAAATGAATCTTAATGGAGAATGGGACAGGGAATGCGAGAGGGAGGAGGAGGAGGAGGGGTGGGAGTGTGGGTGGGAGGGCAGGTATGGTGGGAAGAATCACTATATTTCTAAAATTGTACTTATGAAATTTGTATTTCTTAAATAAAAGGTTTCTTTGCAGGGGGAGAGGGGAGAAGCAGTGAGTAGCAAGGATCCAATCCTTTCTTCCCAGAGAATATGTTAATCAAGGCATCATTAGAGGGTAGAAGTTTCTAAATCATGAATTGAATAAACCCAAAGTTATTCAGTTTATTTTAATAATATTTAAATTAATAAAAAATTATGACAATGACACAGTAAATGTTACTGTGAATGTTGTAGATATATCTAGAATTATTTTCCACCATGGGGGACAACTATGTATTTGGTTAAAAATTTTTCTGGTGGGAAATAGATTTATTTTATCAAGGAACAAGAGAACTGTCAAATAAATATCAGCTGATCTGCTTCATTATTTATAACCCCTAATAAAATAAATAAATCAACTTAGACAGTTATCCCCTTGAAGTAAAAAAATGCTGTTTTCTAGATTAAAAAGCAAAAATGTGTTTACTTATCAACACTCCAGGGAACAAATAAATTTATGATTAATTCTTCATTAATAGCCTGGTTCCTTGAGTACAATTTAAGCCCCAGTGGAAAAAAATATCTGATCCAAGTTAATTAGGTTGATGTTTTATCAAATGATGTTAAATATTTAAGAATTAGGAAAGCAGCTAGGCTAAAGATACTTTTTCTAAAATTATTTTATGCTGATGTCAATAAAACCATGAAAAGAATAATGAAAACTTTTTAAAAAATACATGAAAATAAGCTCTTCAGAAAACAATTCAAGTCTCTATCTTTACATTTGTCAACAATTTAAATTGATTTTAAATTCTATCAATTGTCATTTGTCATCTTCTGGAAAAAAATTAATTCCTCTAGCCTTTATTATTTCTGATTGCATGGGTAGGAATACCAAGTCCTCCACTTAAAAATCTTTGCTATTTAACTGGCGCTGTGGCTCAATAGGCTAATCCTCCCCCTGCGGCGCCGGCACACCGGGTTCTAGTCCCGGTCGGGGCACCGGATTCTGTCCCGGTTGCCCCTCTTCCAGGCCAGCTCTCTGCTGTGGCCAGGGAGTGCAGTGGAGGATAGCCCAAGTACTTGGGCCCTGCACCCTATGGGAGACCAGAAGCACCTGGCTCCTGGTTTCGGATCAGCGCGGTGCGCCGGCCGCGGTGGCCATTGGAGGGTGAACCAATGGCAAAAGGAAGACCTTTCTCTCTGTTTCTCTCTCTCCCTGTCCACTCTGCCTATCCAAAAAGAAAAAAAAATCTTTGCTATTTAATTTCAGTCCTCAGTATCAAGGAAAATAATTGTGTATATCCCATGGCATTCTGAGATCTAAATAGAATTCTATGTGTAAAACTCTTAAGCTTTTGGCACATATGAAAAACAAAAAAGTAAGCATTATGGTCAATAATAAAATGCAATGAGGAGGAGTCTATAAAGGCACAAAGTGAAGTCTTAAGAAATTTGTGTTTCTGCATCCCTGTATTATTTGTATTTTTTTGGTAAATAAATTTTGTTTCAAACTCTACTTCCAGGATCATACTATGTATTTTAATGTACTGTACTAATGCATTTCACAATAGTAAGGCATTTCATTGAAGTGAGATTGATTAATTGATGCATATGTCCAGCAAATATCAGCATATTGTGGACCTACAAAACCGCGTAATGTGTGAACTGTACCTCTGAGTCCAAGAACTTCACTTCTTACAGGGATAAAATTATTATACTACTGCACCACTCATGAATAAAGTATTAAATAGGACTATTAAAACTTGGCAGAACTCAAAAATCGATGAGTTTTTAAACAAATGCCAAATGTTCCTTAAATGCACTATCAATGTCATTTAATTGACATCTGTATCAGTTACTTATTTATACCTACAGTTGTAAAATCTGAGAGTTTATTTCTGCCTATGTAGTCTATGTGGTTGTTGAAACAAAGGTTTATAAACAGTGGAAATCTACAACCAACAACACAAGTAATGTCAAAATGTGGTGACATAGGACTTCAAGGAAGGAGAATTCAGAGTGCAATTTTCTGGAGATGCTTTGTGACAGAAGAAAGGCTTAGTAGAATCTTGAAAAACAGGTAGATCTTTGATATATAGAGACCACAGAAGGAAGAGTTTCTAGGCTTGTGTACAGTTTATAGGCTTGCAACAGCAGACAGGACAAAATGTCAATTATATGTTGTGGCTGGCAAAGCTGTTTCTCAGCTACACAGAGGAATGGTTTATGGGAGATTTAAAAGGTATGAGGGTGGAATTTTGAGAAGTCTTGATTACAACATTAGGGACTTTTTTACTTGTTTGCACTGGAGAGAACTACAATACTCTGAACATTTATATACTCGATAAGTAACTTAAAAAGAAAGAGCATGTTGATGCTTGAATTTGTGTTTCAAAAAATTTATTTTGGAAAATGAGAAGTTCTAAGTTTGGAACCCAGTTAGGAATCTACCTAATAATCCAATGAGAAGCAAGGGACAACCTAATATACTTAATGGAAAAATCATACCCAATGGCTTATAATAATTCAAAATGGCCAAGTAATAGAGAGTGAATTTTTAAAATATCAGAATATTGGTAACCACAAGTCCTTTGTCTTGGATCTCAGGTAAGTAATATGGAAGCAGGGTGAATACTAAAGCTTGTTTTTTTTTTTTTTTTTTTCTGATATTCAGTTGCTGCTTGCAGTTTTCTGCAGTCAAATGCTCTGCCCCTGAACTATATCCCCCTTGCTTGCAGTTTTCTAATATCTTTAGTATATAATATGCCAAAAGGGAATCAGTTTCACCTCAGAGCCACCATTAGATCATGCAATGCTTTTTCTTCTATTTCCCATTTAGTCTGTGTCCCTATGTAACTCATTTTTATAATTAATCTTTAAGTACCTACAAACTTACAGTCTTTATGTTCATTAAATCCATTGCATATATTTTTTCATATTACTCCATTCTTCATAATTACAACTGTAATGGTTGGCTAATTTTGTTTAATCTAATGACTCATAATTTGTTATCATATTGTTGTATATTTAGGTTTTTCATTTATTCACTGATAGAGTTAATGCTGTAATTAATAATTTTATGCTTATAGTTGTATTCTCTTTTGAATTATTTTGTTAGTATAAATTCTCAGGAGAGCTATTAATGGTTCAAAAGGTATAAAGGTTTTTATAGCTTTTCAGACATGTTGCCAAATTGCTTTCCAAAAGGATTTTACTGCAACAATTTATAATACCCCAGGTGGTTCTCCTGATAATAATACATACATTTCCACCCACTTATTCTCCCTTGCTATCAATTACAGAATCTTCTAACAGTGTTCCTGGTGTGGTTATGTAGACTACTCTTGTTTTGTGCCTACTCTCCCAGACTAATCATGTCATCTTCTGTTGCGTTTGTGATGGGATGGAATTCCTATTCCTACCCATGGCAGAATTATCAACATCCAGCCTTCTCCTGACAGCAAGCATTGGATAATTAGGAGTTACGCTCGATGAAGGAAATATGTGAAATACTTTTCAAAGCAATAATGGATTAAGGCATTGGCGTCATGTTCGAGTGCCACAACCTACATACCATATGACAGTGGGAATTAACCTGACTTCTTTAAACCTCAGTTTCCTTATTCATTAAATGCTAAACCCCCCCACTTCATCCTACTATGAAGACTACATGAGATAAGGTGTCCTAAAATGTAATATGTCTCCACCAAATTAACCCTTGAAAGACATTAACACAGATCACCTGCATTTTCTATCTTAAAGCTAGTTAATATATACACCAAGAAGGTATATATATATATATAAAATATATACCAAGAAGAGTCAAATCCACATTCTAACACACTGAAGCTTTTCTGAAAAAAAATTTTGAGTTATGGGCTTGTTTGAACATTTGTTAAATACATTCCTCCCTTGCTAGAAAAAACATAAACTTTGCATCCTGATCTTCTCCATTCTGTGAAGCTGAGTCACTAACCGCAGGTTAAAATACCTGTCCCCACACACTTCATTTCCTATGTAAAGAAACCAAGGCTCTAAGAACTTATGTGGCCTGTTCAACATATCTGAGAGCATAAACTGGGTTGAAGTAGCTGTACCTGTTTTTCTAGAAATGTATATTTACAAATGTCCAATAGGATCTGAATTTCCACTGTTTAAAAAGCAAACAAATAAAAAACACAGTAAATCATTGAAAAAAAGTCATTTTGTGAAAATAGGGTAAAGCAAAAAGTCATTTTGATTGCCTCTTTTCTGTCAATTCCAACATTTATACATATTACAGAAGATAAAAATTTTACTGAAATCTGTTTTCTAATTCACATTTTCTACTGCATCATTTCTATATTGCCTGTGTAATAGACTGAGAAATATGAGCACATTTAGCTGTGCGATATTGATATTCAGGATTTCTAACTCAGAGGCAAGTCACAAAAGATAATTACTTTAACTAGAGTTTATTTTTTATAGTAAGAAAACATGCGTAAAGTTCTATATAGTCCAGTGTTTTCAAAATCTAAAAAAGGAACCATACAACTAATGTTTCCCCAAAAATTAGGAGCGTGGTGAGCAAATAAAAGAAAATGCTTGATTTACAAGTTTTCAATAGTTGCTACCCAAAGAAAATCTCACTGGATTAACAAACAGCATGGCCCCATTCGAATGAAGTTCAAAGCCTGTTTCTATGGTCTGGAAAGATGATATGTGATACAAAAAGCTACATGTTGTTGTGACAAAAGAAAAACAAAAACAAAAACAAAAATTCAAACAAAGAAGAGTGTAATCTTCAACAGCATCATGAACATATAAAAAAATAGAGGTACTTCCCTTAAGAAGGCCAAGATATCCAGTTGGAATGCACAAAATTGCAAGCCCACCACTTTCATCCTAACAGCCCTGACGTGGCTCAGGGTCAAATCCACAGATGTTCATAAACCTCTGACAGAGCAAAAGGCAAGAAAACCTAATTAAATGATAGAAAATGATAAGCCTCACATAGGTGAGAAGCGACTTAAGAGTATTCTCAATCATGAGAGAGAGCAGAAAGTATCATAGAATGAAGGAAGAATAAAATAACTAAATTTTGGGGCTGGCGCCGTGGCTCACTTGGTTAATCCTCAGCCTACAGCACCGGGTTCTAGTCCTGGTTGCTCCTCTTCCAGTCCAGCTCTCTACTTGGGCCCCTGCACCCACATGGGAGACCAGGAGGAAGCACCTGGCTCCTGGCTTTGGATGGGCGCAGTTCCAGCCATGGCGGTCTTTTGTCGGGTGAATCAACGGAAAGAAAACCTTTCTCTCTGTCTCTCTCCTCTCTCTCACTGTCTAACTCTATCTGACAAATAAAAAAAAGTTAAAAAAGAGCTAAATTTTGAATGCTTCAATGAACGTTTAAATATTTTAGTGAACTGGCCCTCCAATATTTTCCCACATGATTTTGCCTACTGCTTGGGGCCTTTTTACCGGACGTTGGGACCCAGGTGGGACAGATGAGACAGATCCCCCTCAGGTGTGAAGACACCACTCAGTGCAGGGCACTTGTTCTCTGTGTGAGTGTAGAGGATAGCAGGATGAGACAAACCCATCTGGGCTGCTGACAACTCTCAGCTTCCTGTTAGGCTAGGGCTGAGGCAGACGAGGATTGAGAAAAAGCAATTGGAGACACTCTGGCTTTCAGCTATCAAGGACAGGAATTGATCCAGGAGTGGTGAGAAAAAAATCTCTAAGAAGTTTGAGCATTCAAGGATTGCAAGGAAGTCCCTGTGTAGGACTCAAACTAAATATTAGATGGGATCTCTAATGATCAGAAAATCGAGCTTTCTGGTGGTAAAGCACATGAAAAATGATGATATGTCATCCGTGTTCACCCCCTAAGCCTTGTAAAAAGAAGGATCTGATCCCGTCCTCAAATATTTGAATCAAATGATGAGGAATTGAATCAAATTGAAGCTATAAAAATTCCTCACTCAGCTCAAACAATTACTTCTTTGACATGATTGCTGAAAAAGTGTGGCGTTTTCTGCTGACAAGTGTTTTGACACACAATAAAAAATGGAAGAAATGAAAAAATATGAAATTTGGTCATGAAAGGAAGCAATCTAAATTTGATCCAGAGATTACCCAGAGGTTGGAATGATAAATCAGAAACTGTAACACAATTATCATAAAATACGTGAAATTACATAGTCAGAATGATGGGCAACATTCATGAAAAGGTAAGTGCAAATGAAATTACAGAAATGGAAAATATAAAATAAAACATTTATTAAAAAGGCTTGACAGCAGATTGGATATAGCTTCCTAAAAAGGACCAATGAAACTAAAGATTGGTCAATAGAAACAGTTAACTGAAACCCAATAAATAAAAAATAAGAGTCAATAAGTGAGGTGATTTTAAAACATGTCCACAAATTGTGTGACGCTCACTCATCAAGAGGACACTGTGGTTTCCTGGACAAATAGAATGTGGTTGAAGGGATATATTGTGACTTCCGAGACTTGGGTTACAAAAGGTCTTCACACTTCTGCTGCTCACACTAGGGATGTTCACACTTGAAATCCAGCCATATGCTGTGAGGACACTTTGGCTATATACAGGGTACATGTTTCCACTGAGGGCCTAGCACAGACAACCTACATCAAACAGAAGACATGTTAGAAAGACAGACTTTTGGGGCTGGCACTGTGGCACAGTGTGTTAATCCTCTACCTGCAGCACTGGCATCCTATGTGGGTGCCAGTTCTAGTCCCAGCTGCTCCTCTTCTGATCCAGTTCTCTGCTATGGCCTGAGAAAGCAGTAGAGGATGGCCCAAGTTTTTGGGCCCCCACTACCCACGTGGGAGACCCAGAGGAAGCTCCTGGCTCCTGGCTTTGGATTGGCGTAGCTCCGGCAGTTGCAGCCAATTGGGAAGTGAACCAGCAGATGGAAGACCTCTCTCTCTCTCTCTCTCTCTCTCTCTCTGCCTCTCCTTCTCTGTGTAACCCTGACTTTCAAATAAATAAATAAATTTAAAAGAAAGACTTTGATATGATTCTTGCTGCAGCCACTATCTGATTTAAATAAAATGAAACATACTTTGTGAGAATCAGTTAACTGGTCCCAACTAATACCAAGTCCATGAGACATAATCATAACAAATGCTTGCATTTTACTTTATAGAATTTTACATTGTTTAGGGACAATATTAGTCACACAGAGTGACTGAGATTTGTGGAACAACGTGAAATGATTTAATATATGTCTTTTTTTAACTTTTATTTAGTAAATATAAATTTCCAAAGTACAGTTTATGGATTACAATGGCTTCCCCCCCATAACTTCCCTCCCACTCGCACCCCTCCCATCTCCCACTCCCTCTCCCCTTCCATTCACATCAAGATTCATTTTCAATTATCTTTATAAAGAAGATCCATTTAGTATATATTAAGTAAAGATTTCATCAGTTTGCACCCACACAGAGCATAAAGTGTAAAATACTGTTTGAGTACTAGTTATAGCATTAATTCACATTGAACAACACATTAAAAACAGAGATCCTACATGAGGAATAAGTGCACACTGACTCCTGTTGTTGACTTAACAAATTGACACTCTTGTTTATGGTGTCAGCAATCTTCCTACGCTGTAGTCATGAGTTGCCAAGGTTATGGTAGCCTTTTGAGTTCACCAGCTTCAATCTTTTTTAGACAAGGCCATGGTCAAAGTGGAAGTTCTCTCCTCCCTTCAGAGAAAGATACCTCCTTCTTTGATGACCCATTCTTTCCACTGGGATCTCACTCACAGAGATCTTTCATTTAGGTGGTTTTTTTTTTTTTTTTTTGGCCAGAGTGTCTTGGCTTTCCATGCCTAATATACTCTTATGGGCTCTTCAGCCAGATCTGCATGCCTTAAGGGCTGAATCTGAGGCCAGAGTGCTATTTAGGACATCTGCCATTCTATGAGTCTGCTGTGTATCCTGCTTCCCATGTTGGATCGTTCTCTCCCTTTTTGATTCTATCAGTTAGTATTTGCAGACACTAGTCTTGTTTATGTGATCCCTTTGACTCTTAGTCCTATCATTATGATCAATTGTGAACTGAAATTGATCACTTGGACTAGTGAGATGGCATTGGTACATGCCACCTTGATGGGATTGTATTGGAATCCCCTGGCACATTTCTAACTCCACAATTTGGGGCAAGACAGCTTGAGCATGTCCCAAATTATACATCTCCTCCCTCTCTTATTCCCACTCTTATATTTAACAAAGATCACTTTTCAGTTAAATTTCAATACCTAAGAATAATTGTGTGTTAATTACAGAGTTCAACCAATAGTTTTAAGTAGAACAAAAAAATACTAAAAGGGATAAAGTATTACATAGTACATCAGCAGTCGGGACAAGAGCTGATCAAGTCATTGTTTCTCATAGTGTCCCTTTCACTTCAACAGGTTTCCTTTTTGGTGCTCGGTTAGTTGTCACCAATCAGGGAGAACATATGATGCAAAAATCCTCAACAAAGGCCAGTCCCTTGGCTCAATAGGCTAATCCTCCCCCTGCGGCACTGGCACACCAGGTTCTAGTCCCAGTCGGGGTGCCGGATTCTGTCCCGGTTGCCCCTCTTCCAGTCCAGCTCTCTGCTGTGGCCCAGGAGTGCAGTGGAGGATGGCCCAAGTCCTTGGGCCCTGCACCCCATGGGAGACCAGGAGAAGCACCTGGCTCCTGCCTTCGGATCAGCATGTTGCGCTGGTCTCAGCGCGCTGGCCACGGTGATGGCCATTGGAGGGTGAACCAATGGCAAAAGGAAGACCTTTCTCTCTGTCTCTCTCTCACTGTCCACTCTGCCTATCAAAAAAAAAATCCTCAATAAAATTCTGGCCAATAAAATGCAACATCACATCAGAAAGATCATCTACCATGACCAAGTGGGATTTATTCCTTTTATGCAGGGATGGTTCTGTGTTCGCAAATCAATCAATGTGATACACCACATTAACAGACTGCAGAAGAAAAACCATATGATTATCTCAATAGATGCAGAGAAAGCATCGATAAAATACAATACCCTTTCATGATGAAAACTCTAATATATGTCTTATAAATGGAATCTCAAAAGAAAATGAGAGACAGAAAGAGGTGGATGGCTGAAACTTTTCCAAACTGATGAAATAAATCAACATAGAAATTTAAAATTTATAGCAAACTCAAAGCAGGAAAATACAAGCCACATGTGTGTATGTATGTTGAGAAGGGTTGTGACCCCTCAGTGTGAGTGATGGTCTAGTGGATCCACTGCATCTTGCTTAGACTCTGCCCGAGTCTTCACTGACTGAAACTCTACTTGTGCTGCTCTGTTGGATCCGACCTTGTCTGGATGTCACATCGTGGTCACAGCTGACATTGGAGCTGGACTGGACTTATCGGTGACTTCTCCAACCCTTTACCATGGAGCCTACTGCCCAGAGTGCCAGTCATCTGATGACTCCTGCCCATAAGTGACTGTTCCGAAATCCAACTCGCAGTGTGGTAACGGAGACTTTGGACTCTGGACTTTGACTTTGCGACCTGTGAATGCGTTGAGAGAGGCAGAAATCAAACGCCTTAAGAATGGGTGCTGTTTTTATTTTTTGTTAAGATTTATTTATTTATTTGAAAGGCAGAGTTACAGAGAGGTGGGTGGTGGGGAGATAGAGAGAGAGAGTCTTCCTTCCGCTGGTTCACTCCCCAGATGGCCACAGAGGCCAGAGCTGAGCCAATTCAAAGCCAGGAGCCAGGAGATTCTTCCAGGTCTCCCACGTGTGCAGGGGCCCAAGGACTTGCACCATCTTCTACTGCTTTCCCAGGCCATAGCACATAGGAAGTGGATAGGAAGTGGAGCAGCTGGGACTCGAACTGGTGCGCATTTGGGATGCTGGTACTGCATGTGGCGGCTTTGCCAGCCGTGTCACAGCACCGACCCCAAGAATGGGTGCTTTGAAAAACTTGACAATAAAGTACTCCAGAAATATGAGTTCATGTAGAGTATTTGCTAATATTAAAGAAAGATCATAAAAATTGAGACATCTACCCAAGATATTATCCCAGGTTCAGGAAGAAATAAGTTTAGGAATGGATTTTAAAAGTGGTGAAAGGCAACCATTTAGTCTGGCAGTTAGGATGCCTAGTTCGCACATTGGAGTACCAGATGCCTGAATTTGATACCCAGCTCTGGTTCCTGACCCATCTACTCACTAATACAGACTCTGGTAAATAGTGGTGATGGCTCTGGTAACTGGTTTCTCTCACACATGTAGGATACTGAGTTGCCGGCTTGTGGCTTCAGCCCATTTCCCTAATGAATGGCATTTGGGGAGTGAACCAATAGATGGGAGTTCTCTACCTGTTTCTGTCTCACTTTTTGTCTTGGTGATTTTCAAGTAAATAAATAAAAATGTAAAAATAATAGTGGAGAGAAAAAATTAATCTGCTTTATACTCTACCTAGTCATGTGTGTTTGGACATAAATTAAGCATGAAATTTTTGCCTTATTTGATATAGAGACTTGTCATAAAGCTACTGATATAATTTAATATATGACAAATATGATACTTTGTAAGACTATGCCATAAATGGTACAGGCACAACTGGCTGCCTGATCAATAAGAAATAAGATTTTCTCTTGTAATAGACAATATGTATTGCTTTTCCAATTACCCTTATTAACCCACTTGCTGAAAATGCTCCTTGCAAACAATCCTTGTTTGTCAATCTCTGTAATCACTCAGTCATTTTGTGTGCCTGGCATAGCCTAGACTTAAAATTGGACATGGCTCCTAAAAGAACTTTGTAAGTGTTTGAAGATCTAAATAAGTGCAAATTCAGGAAACCAATTGATCTTTTAGGTAATAGAATTAAATGAGAATAAGCTAAAAGTGGAAGAATCAATTCTCCCTTGTTCCTCTGTTTTGAATGTAACTGAGTTTTGCCTTTGTTGCCTAATAAAAATTCTCTCTTTGAGGGGGAAAAAGAACTTTAAAGAGCCATACCAGCCTCAGAGTCCCATGGATCTGCTTGGATCAGCATTGAGACATCAGTGCAATTCAAATTCTTTTCCTGTCCAATCTTATTTGTTCCCTTCCCTACATAGAAAATTATTCCAAACACATTCCCTACTAAAACTAGTTTTTTTCCTAATCTTATTTTAGATTCAGACTTTTAAAGAATCAAACCTGAAACAGACAGCATCTTAAACTCAATTTCTCAACTTATAGGTAAGACAACCCAATTAAAATGTGGTAAGAAAATCTAGGAGAGTGCATTTACCTTTAAAGTATAGGAGGAACTTTCTCAGTCAAAATTAGAAAACCAGGAGATATTAAAAATACAGACACAGGGGGTTGGCACTGTGGTGTAGCAGGTAAAGCCGCTGCCTGCAGTGCCAGCATCCATATGGGTGCTGGTTGGAGTCTCGGCTGCTCCACTTATGATCCAACTCTCTGCTATGGCCTGGGAAAGCAGTGGAAGATGGCCCAAGTCCTTGGGCCCCTGCACCCACATGGGAGACCTGGAAGAAGCTCCTGGCTCCTGGCTTCGGGTCAGTGCAGCTCTGGCCATTGCAGCCAATTGGGGAGTGAACCAGCATGGAAGACCTCTCTCTCTCTCTCTATCTCTCTCTCGCTCTCTCACTCTTACTCTGTGTCTCTCTCTGTGTAACTCTTTCAAATAAAATAAATCTTTAAAAAAATAAAAATACATATATTAATATAACGAATTCTGAATAAAATTAATTATTTAATTGTTTTTCTTTCATTATCTTTGAGTGTTTAATTAATAAATTAATAGAAAAATGTAGCAAAATTGATTCTACAGACAAATATTTGTTTTGGGAAATGTTTTTGATGCAAGGAGTTTAACTTAGAATATTAAAATGCCTCCTACTTTTTTACCTAAATGAAATAATGCAACAGAATAATGTGTCAAACAGAAAAGCAAACTGAAGCAAACCACAGACATTTGAAAAAATGCTAAAACTCAATAAAATGCAAGGAAATGTAAGCAACAATAAAAAGAAGCTTTTGGATTGATTGCAACAATTTAAAACACCAAGGGAAAACACCTGTTGATGGAAAACAACTTTGAATTGCTAGAGCTTTACATGGCATATTCTTGAAACATTTTACTAACATGCCTTAAAAAGAATTACTCCTTTGAAAAAGTAATTTTTTTCTTCAAACTTTATTTTGCAGATAAACAGCACCAGAACACAAAACATAGGAAACTGGAGTAGCAATACCATTCTGGCAAAAGACAAAATAAATCTGTGTGTATATGTGTGTATTTGTGTGTGTGTGTGTCTGAATGCTCTGCAGCAGGATAAGAATTTAGTACCTTTTAGTGAGTTCCTATAATTTCACGCTGCATTGCTATCCATGTTTTAAATTTTATTTATTTAATTGAGAGATAGAGTTACAGACAGGGAGAGGGAGAGACAGAGAGAAAGGTCACCCATCTGCTAATTCACTCCCCAAATGACTGCAAAGGCCAGAGCCGGGTGAATTTGAAGCCAGGTTCCTGGAGCTTCTTCCAGGTCTCACACGTGGGTGCGGGGGCCCAAGCACTTAGGCCATTTTTCAGTGCTTTCCCAGGCCATTAGCTGGGAGCTGAATGGGAAGAGGAGCAGCCAGGATATTAACCAGTGCCCCTATGGGATACTGGCACTACAGGTGGAGGCTTAGTCCACTAGGCCACCATGCTGGCACCTGCTATGCATTTTGACAATGGGTTTAATTTTCTCATACTAGAAGGCAAGCATTTACCCTTGACAGTTTTCATTTCTTTGCTTCCTCCCAATTCCTTAATGGGAGAGGCAGATAACTGCTTTCCAAAACCATTTCTTTGTGGCCTATTTCAATGAGACAGGCAGATACCTAATGGTCCCATTGACACCCACAGCCCACATAAGCTGTGTAGAATTGTCATGATGACCATCTATCATTCACAGTGTGACTCCACTGAGCATGTGACTGCTTCTTTTACACTCCCCAAGTAGAACTTCCTGCGTGGGTAACACTTTGCACCTCAATAAAAGCCTTGGTCAATAGACCCGTCACTGGTGACTGAACAATAACGCATTCTGAATGTCTCTTCCTTTCCTGGGGGTCTGCAAGACGAGCTGCCCTCTTCTCCGGGAACAGAAGGTAGTGCATTGCTTCAGGTAGTTCATGTTTTGTTGGGTTGCCTCATCTGTGTCTCACCTGATTGACATACCCAAACTTTTTTCCAGTTCAGGTTCTCCTAGATAGCAGCCCTCTTGGAAGGAACAAGGTGTAGATAAATCAGACAAGTGCCACAAGTTTCCTGTGGGAGGGACCCCTGTGCACAGGTCACAACCTTAGTCATCATGCTGTCCACCAAGACAAAAAATGTCTCAGGGAGAGACACACTGTATATATTCATGACCAAAGCCCCTGGAGCCCGTCTATGTATGGCTAGAGTTTATAGCCATGCTTGGGAAAGAGAACTCAAACTATATATGAGAGGGCCAGCACTGTGCATCGTGGGTAAAGCTGCTGCCTGAAGTGTTGCCATCCCATATGGGCACCAGTTTGAGTCCCAGCTGCTCCACTTCTGATCCAACTCTCTGCTATGGTCTGGGAAAGCAGTAGAAGATGGCCCAAATCCTTGGGCCCCTGCACCCACGTGGAAGACCTGGAAGAAGCTCCTGGCACCTGGCTTTGGATTGGTGCAGCTTCGGCCATTACAGCCAATTGGGGAGTGAACCAGCAGATGGAAGACCTCTCTCTCTCTCTCTCTCTCTCTCTCTCTCTCTCTGCTTCTCCTTCTCTCTGTGTGTAACTCTGACTTTCAAATAAATAAATAAACAAATCTTAAAAAAAAACTATATAAGAAAAAATACATTACTCACGAGACATATGTATCCTGGAATATGTAGTTATTGAAAATAATGCATTGAAGCTATATATCTTCTCAGTGTGCTAAGCAGATATGTGTGTGTAGGCGGGTGGCTAAGTAATCCACCTGGGTGAAGGCATCAGGGGGCTTGTTGTCTGTACAAACTTTATGTGAGTAGAGGACATAGCCTTTCACATAGCTATGTGCTGCTGCTAATTCTACACCATCTCTTTGATAATACACTGCTCTGCACCAGTCCAGACCTCTTTAACCACTCACCAAGGCCATTGTGTAGCAGTTAAATAGAGGGACTTTCATGAAGTCCTGCTTAATGAGCAGAGACATGCAAAATATGTCTATCTTATCTTGTTATTTTTCTTTAAAATGGGGAACAAAATCCTTTATAGGGGGACTTCAAAAATATGTATTATGAAAGAATTATGCATGGACTTTAAAATTTTATGTCACAACAAACTAACTTTTTAATTCCATTTCCATGAAATTTTAACCACCTTTATATCTATATGTATACATATGCAAACACATATATCATGTATATAAAAATATACACATATTCTTACTATGAGCTTGTTGAAAAAAAATGGATGACTTCTTAGTATGCCATTAACAGGGGCTATGGGGATGAGGAGAAAAACTTATGAAGAGACAGGAGAAGGAAAGACAGAAGATAAACAATAAAACACTGCAAAATCTTGCATTAAAAGGTATAAGTTTTGGACACATCTGTACAGTTATATTGCTGTAAAGATACAAATGTGAAACCACTTTTAATAATTTAAAGATCAAAAAGAAAATAACAAATGTTAGATCTTGCAAGATGGAAATGTAGGATCCAGATTTCAGGAACTGAAATACTAAAATGAAAAGGTAGAAAAAGAACAGACTTGGAAGATAAATTACCACCCCTAAATGTCGAGACTTGCTCCACTAGCAGGCTTTTTGCATTTGCTTAAATTCTAAATTGAGAGAATTGACTCATTTGATACAATATAAATATGTAAATATACTAATTACTATTATTCCAATGCAAGTTAGAATCCAGAATAAAGACCAACTTTTAAAATGCTGTTTTTTAAATGAACATAATCATCTAACAAAATTCCAATAATTTTGACTTCATCAAAATAACAGCTTATCTTACACTCATTCTAAGAGCAGAACTGGGAGGCATTGGGGGGAGGGATGGTTTTTACCTGACTGAAAGCAAATATTTGAAGACTATCCAATTCAAAAAAAAGTTTTGTTTTGAATTCCAATGTCAAATCCAGCAGTTTGCATTTAGGAATCTGCAGAGAGTCAACACAGATTTCTGTATTAGTCATTCAGGCTGCTTTGATCATGTCATTGTGACCTTGCAAAGAACACGATGTGTTTAGAGACTTTAAAAGAATGTTCTAGGTGAACCTCTTAAAGTACATCAAGGCTCTAACTCTATCCCATGTTAAGGATGGTGAATGTACTAAAAAACATTTAAAATTTTTTGGTTGTTGATCTGTATTAGGCACTCTTAATGATTCGATGGATTTTTGTATCAAACACTTATTGCATCAATCTGTTAGATTTATGGTATCAGCAACTTATTACAAATAAATAGGAACATTTCAGTAACTTTTAAATCATTCTTTTCATTGTAGGCAGAAGGATTTTGTGAAAAATCAGTATTAACAAGAAAGAGTTTCCATTTTCAATTCTAACTTAGTCATTAAGTAGTGCTGAGTTTCCTCTAACATGCACAAAGGGCCATCAAAAGGGTATCTATAAAACAGATTGTTATCTTGGAAGAAATCAACATCAGTTTAAACAACTATTTAGTTGTGACTTTTGGACACTTGCTAGTAACATAGATCAACAAAACACAATTCTACTTTCAAGATGTTGACATGCTTATGTAGAATGCAATGTGAGAGACACTCTAACTTTGTACAAAGAATCAAATAAGCATAAAATATTACAAGTAACAATTTTGGTTAAATACATTAATGGCCTTTTTTGTATTTGTAGCTTTAAGATTTGCATTGTGACCACACATTTCTAACTAAATACTGAAAATTCAGGACATAAAATCACCCCTAATGTCTTTGGCCTATAAAGCAACTAAACCTATCCAAATAAGGCATAATTAAAACTGAATTTTCATTCCAAATGCTATACCTCAACAAATAGAATTATGTCAAGTTCCATCTTGTTTTCATTCCTCAGACATGGAAGTTTGAGTAGGGATTTGGATCTGTTCACTTTGGAAGAGTGTATAGCATGTGGGAATCTAATTTCTTGTTCACGTATGAAAATTAGATCATTCAACCCACGCTGACATTCTGAGCAGGGTTCTTTCTCTCCAGCTGTCTGCTGTTAGACGCTGAAGAGTCAGGACAGTGAAATATGTCTTTAAATTATAGGGAAATATTTTGGAACTTCCAGTAACTACTTATTGAAGAATTTTGGCTTGCAGATTTTTGTAGTCAGCTCCTCATGAAAATAATGAAGTTGTTGATTTAAGAGAAGTTACATAAACTTTTCTCTAAACTTTTTTTAAATTCAATACTTGTGGTATGAATTAAAAGAACAAAAGGACAAAATGAATTATTTATGCTTTATATTCACACCCATTTACATTCCTAGTTACTTTACCAATTGTTATATTGAACTAATAGTTGGATACAGACATAGAAAAATTATAAAATAAGCTCCAAATTGCTTTTGGGAGCATTAATTTTTAGGGATAACTATAATTCTTAGACACATTTAAATAAAAAGAGTACTATTGTATGTTTTGATATTCTGAGATTAACATGGAAATTAGTCATAGATTTAAGCAATGATTCCAAATGGAAAATTTTTTAGAAGTCAGTTACAATTTTATTTAGACAATTAACCCCTCATGATCATTTGGGAAATAACTGAATATGGTTTGTTTATTCCTGTTCAGCTAAACACAGGAAATAACATTTATTACCGAAACTGAAAGTCATTACAGGTCTCAGTATGTGTTGGGAATTCTCTAAGCTCTTTGCATGCACTATCTCATTTAAGCCTCAGAGCAGCCCTTTGTACAAAGGGCTCATTTGTATTAATTAAGAGAGAACTGACTGCTATATAACAGAGAAACCCCATAATTTTGGTACCTTCAAAAGCAATGTTTTTTTTTTTTCTCACTGGCATAAAGCCAGGTACATGAGGAACTAAACATGTAATAAGCATTAATAATGAAAAAGATCTTAGTCCAGAAATGGATTTTGTTAAATCAATCTAAACTGACTGAACTATGGAGTTGATCGAAGAAAAGTAAGAATGCAACATAAAGTAACAGGATGTAGTTAAGAGGACTGAGCTACATGCTGAGCTGCAGGTAGTACAATTCCCACAGTGTGTGCAGTTGCAAAGGACACAAGGAAAGGTAAAG